CTTTGGCTACCGCCACCGCCAACACCTGTCCGAATGGTGACCATCTTTGCCACTGGGGCAAAAGTCTCGTCATAGTCAATCCCCTCAACTTGGTGATTTCCCAAGACAACTAATCGGGCTTTGAAGCGTTCAACGCTCCCATCGAATGATATTTGATTTTATAAATCCACTTGCAACCCGGAGGCTTCTTCCCCGCTGGTAGAGGAGTAATGTCCCATGTTTCATTACTTTGGAGGGCCCGAATTTCACTAGCCATGGCATCTCTCCATCTAACATCCCGAACAGCTTCAAAGAAATGCACAGTGTTCTCTCTCGCATGAAGGGCCGCAAGAAAGGTTCGGTGGGGGAAGGAGAATTTAGCACAATTTAAGTACTTTGTCAAACCGTAAGGCATACCCGAGAAAGTTGAATGTGGAGTGCGAATTGAGGGACCGAGTTGTAAAGTGGTGTTAGTGACATAATCACGAAGCTTCACAGTATGGCTTTCGTACACGAAGACCTTTCCCCGAGGATGCAGGGACAAGTATGCTCCTCGAGAACCTCTAGTTCCGTCATCATAGAGTCGGCTTGTTCCGGTGGGAGAACGATCTCGGGTGGGAGGCTCTTGTTCATGGCATTCGGCCGTGGCCCTCCCCGAACTCGCTGTGGGCACATCTTCGTCGTGGGGTTAACGTCATCGGCCTCCACAACGTGTTCTCGCATTGTTCATTGCACCAAGTCCAGGCAATGCTTCCTCGACAATGCTAACATCAACAGTAGGCAATCCTACCTCCGAATGTCTACTCGTGGGCAAGAGAGGCAAACGGGAATTCATGTTCTACAAACTTAACATCTCTCGAAGTCCGAAGACTTCTCTTCCAGATCAAACAATTTCCAACCCTTTTTTTCGATTGAATATCCAACAAATACATTCTTGCGACTTCTACTTGCAAATTTGTCACCTTTCCTATCTTGGTTATGTGCATAACACAAGCATCCAAATACCCGTAGATGGTCATAAGTGGGTGGCTTCCCATTCAATATTTCATATGGAGTTTTTCCATGGAGAACGGTTGAGGGTGTACGATTGATCAAGTATCCTGCGGTCAAAATGCATTCTCCCTGAATTGAAGTGGAAGTTCTCCCCGAAATCGTAGAGCACGAGCTACATTTAGGATGTGTCGATGTTTTCGTTCGGCTCTCCCATTTTGCCGAGGTGTTCCAAGTGCATGAGGTTTGATGGAGTATCCCATGTTGCCGAAAATATCGTTGAAGACACATAAACTCGGCTCCATTGTCACTTCGTAATATTTTGACTTGTTTCTCGTATTGTCGTTCTATTAAGACGATGAAATGCATTAAGGTTTGTGACACATCTTTCTTATTATTCAAGAGATATATCCACACAGCTCGAGAACAGCTCATCAACCAAAGTGAGAAAGTAAGATGCACCACAAGACGAGGGAGTTCTATATGGACCCCATACATCACAATGTATTAAATCAAATATATTGGATGCTTGAAAATCACTTAAAGGAAATGTGTTTCTGCATTGCTTTGATCTCTCACACACTTCACACACACGAGTTGTATCCGTATTTCTATTCACGCCGTTCGTATGCGGAATTTTTCTAACAATCTGGTAGGCAGGATGTCCCATTCGCTTGTGCCAAATCTCTAGTTGATTTTCCGCATTGGTCCGATACGCCTTTATGCCACTCACACCACGATACCAATAGAGTCCCTCTTTTCGTTCACCCGCACCAATCAGCATCCTCGAAGTGTGGTCCCGCATTGCACAAAATCTATCGATGAAATGTACTCGTACATTTTACTTCATTCGTCAATTGTGATACCGAAATCAAATTGCAATTCAATTTCTGAACATATAGAACATGTTTAAGTTTCAGTCCTCCATCAAGGAAAACCGATCCTTCTTTGTTTGCCAGCACCAATTCACCATTTGGTAGTCCCACCGGGCACCCTTCCAAGGCTCGACTCTCCCTCAAGTTTTCTAGTGTTCCTGTCATATGATTAGAGGCGCCACTATCAATAATCCACAAGTCACATGCTTTCTTACCGGTCATCTTTTCAGCTTCATTTGCATTGCGAGAATTCAACATTCGTTGCCAAGATCTCGCCATTGCTCATTACTCGAGTCCCGCGACTTCGGTTTTTCGGTTGAACCAACGTTATCCGCACCCAGTGTGCGCCATATTGACGCGAGCCGTTCCTCCTTTTCCTCGGAAGGTTCCTGTTCTTTGTTGATTTTTTTCATCGTTTTTATCGGTTCGTGGTCTCTCTCCCCACCATTCTCGGGTAACCAATGATCTTGAAGCAATTGCCTTTGTCATGTCCCTTCCTTCTATACTGCATGCAAACAACTCGATTTTTCTTTCGCTTCATTGCGCAACTTGTTCCTCGGTTTCCGCTCGCATAGCCATTCCCACGATCATTCCTCGCTCTTCTTTAGACCTCGGTGATTGTTCTCACCCTTTCTTCTTGCACCATGGTGCCATACACCCGATTCAACGAGGGTAATGGATCTCGTTGCCAAAACATTTGACCGTGCAGTTCCATAGCCCTCATCATCTAGCCCCATCAAGAACTGATGAATTTTTTCTTCTTCTCTTCGTTTCTCAAGTTGCGTCATAATATTACACTTGCATCTCCCACATCTACACCGTGGGATTTGCTCGTAATTTGCCGCTTCATCCCACAACGTTTTCAACTTCCCATAATAGGAAACCATAGTCATTCCTTGTTGTTTGCATTCTCGCCAACTCGACTTTAGCTGCTGGATTCTTGGTCCGTTCACGATCGAGAATCGTTCCTTGATGTCATCCCATAGGTCCTTTGCGTTTTTCATGTATGCAACAAGTGGAACGCAAACTAGGTTCTATAGTGTTTAGTATCCAAGATACAAGCATCGATTGAATTGTCCACCAATCTTCTATCTCGGATGTGTCTTCTTCGAGTTCCTTATGAGTTCCATCTATGAAACCCCATTTCCTTCGAGCCCGCAGAGATATCTTCACGGCCCTTGCCCATTCCTCGTAATTCTCTCCTCGTAATTGTACTCGTGTAATCACATTTCCGGGATTATCACCGGCACTCGGATCGTATGGCGATGGTGTTTTCTTCACCGTCTCTCCTCTCTCTGCCATTTTAGAAGTACGATCGTGTTCTCGAGCCGTTGGATATCGAGTTTGGTTCGCTCCGATACCATGATCAAAATATTTCCAAAAACCCCTGTCTTGTATTGAATATGATAGCACAATATATACATGAAATACGTAAACATTCTAGGCTATAATTACGCTAACCATTATAGTCGGTATCCTAAATTTGTCTATTAACGGATATGACATTAATGTGCATCACTGTGCATCGCTGTCATGCCAAGCTAAATATGGAAAAAATTAATCATGTAGAATCATGGCATGATACGGTATTTGTAATCGTATATTCTATGTTTATCAATATTGTTTATTATTAGAAACTGTCTTATGATTTTTTTTTCAAGAGAAAAACAAATAATGTATTGCATAATTCATGAGAATGTTTAGTATTATATTTTTATAATTATATGGAGTTTTAGACATGTAGTTCACTTTCTTTATTTTGTTACTGTACAAAAATATGATGAAAAATAATAAACAAAATTGAAAAGTAGATAAAGTATCTATACACGCAAACTATTCAACGATTAGTAAAACTTGTATGAAAAAGAATATTTCAGTAAACTCATCATGCTATTGTTATGTTAAATAAAATGCTTAAGAAATAATTCTTATATTTTCTTCCATTCTTTTGTAATGAATATCTTTTTCGAATCATGATTTTTTTATCATATTTTTTTCTTTAAAATATTTATTATTGATATAAAATTTTGGTTTTATGTTATATATACCATGGTTACGTTGTCATTATTTATTAAATAAAGTATTTATTATAAGTTAAATGTTTAAAGAGATTCAAAATTAAATTTGTTTAAATTGAGTTATTTTGTTAAGTGTCATTAAGAATCTATTTATAAATTTAAGAATAGTTAATTTCAATCTTTCATTTGATAGTGAGTCTTGTAATGCTAAAGAACTTTGTGAGTGTGTTATGCAGGTGAAGATAGTTATGTAGTGAATGTTGTATGCCACTGTGTTGTACGTCTAATTTAATAGATAAATTAAGATCGTGTAGTAATATGAAGGCTAGAAAAAGTAAGAGAAGTTAAGATTACGTAGAAGAACAATGTTAACTTAATGTGATGAATTAAAATTACATAAAAACACGAAGGGATTATAATTAATATGTAATGGACGATCATCCAAACATCTTTTATTCCTTTTCGACCCATGCTAGTAAAAATGGAAGAGAGGTACAAATGAGATGCGGACACTAAAATACTCTGACCAATTTAATAAATGGATTTTATACATCAAGATAATAAAATAATAAATCTTTTACACATCAAAGGATTTAAATAATAATTTTTTAACTACAAGATATTAAATTGATAAGGTGATTTACAATTTTATCTCATTAACCAAACAGTACAATATAATTAGTGTAAAAAACTGACATTATTAAGTGGTTAAAGATCATGTTAGAAGACTATGACGAAATAACTATATGTTGTAAATTTAAAACGAATATGAGATAATAATAATAAAAAACTAGTAAAATTTAAGAATGAATGTAGTGGTGAGTAACATGTATCTTTAAGAGTTACAAGATGTATTATAAGAAAAACAGAGTCCAGCTTTCTCTGTAGAAAGAATGAAAGAGTAAATGACATTATTGAATGGAAAAGGAGGAAAAAGGAAAAGGCAAGCACAGTAGGATTTCCACACATACATGCACCTTCTGCTTCCCAATAAAACCCCATTGTTGTGATCATCAAAAACCACATATTTCTAACACCAAAATACCCAATATATATCCCTCTTCTCTCTGTCCTCTCAAGTGTGTGTAGTGTGTTTAGTTTTTCTGTAGCATTAGCCGTAGCCACCACATACACGACCATGTTTTCCCCGAGAGACATGCCTTCTCCCTCCTCAATCTTCTCAGCCTACGCTTCCATGACAGCCTCTATCATGCTCCTGCGTTCCATGGCCAACGAGCTCATTCCCCAACCAATCCGTGGTTACCTTTGCAACGCCTTCCGCTACCTCATCAAGCCTCGCTCCCCTACCCTCACCCTCATCATCGAAGAGTCCACCGGCATAGCCCGTAACCAAGTCTACGACGCTGCCGAGGCTTACCTCTCCACCCGCGTCAGCCCAGAAAACGAGAGGCTCAAGATCAGCAAGAGCCCCAAGGAGAAGAAACTAACCATTCGCTTAGAAAAGGGTGAGAAGGTGGTGGACTTCTTCAACGGCGCGTGCTTCAAGTGGAGATTCATCTGTGCGGAATCCGAGAAGAACAACCCAAACGACCACACCAACAACATCTCCGTAAGATCCGAAAAGCGGTCTTTTGAGCTGAGCTTCCCGAAAAAGCTCAAGGAAATGGTGCTGGAAACCTACCTGCCCTTCATTCTGGAGAAGGCGAAGGAGATGAAAGAAGAGGAACGCGTGCTGAAGATGCACACTCTCAACACCTCCTACTGCTACAGCGGGGTGAAATGGGACTCCATAAACCTGGAGCATCCTTCCACGTTTGAGACGCTGGCGATGGAGCCGGAGCTGAAGAATGCGGTGATAGAGGACTTGGACAGGTTCGTGAAGAGGAGGGAGTTTTACAAGAAAGTTGGGAGGGCCTGGAAACGTGGCTACTTGCTCTATGGCCCTCCTGGGACTGGCAAATCCAGCTTGATCGCTGCCATGGCTAATTACTTGAAATTTGACATCTTTGACCTCCAACTTGGGAACATTGTGAGGGACTCTGACCTCAGAAAACTGCTTCTGGCTACGGCTAATAGGTCCATTTTGGTCATTGAAGACATTGATTGCAGTGTGGATCTCCCAGAGCGCCGCCATGGAGATGGACGTAAACAAACTGACGTACAGGTTAGTAATTCTCACTTTCTTACTCTCTGTCGTACCCTTTCATTCACCTCTTTCTTTTGCCTATAATTTACATGTGGATTTTCTCAGTATTGTATTCGATGATTTAAAGGAGATTGGTTTTATACAATTTAATTCATGCATTTATGTAAAAATGTCATCTAGTAAGAAATTGAGGTGTATGCTATAAATTTATAGTTATTATTGTTACAGTGGTTAGTAATATATCATATCATATTACTTGTTTTTATCTTTCTAATGAAATTAAAACAATGAGAGTTTTTTTACTAAATAAAAAAAAAAAAACATGATCTTTAGTTAAAAAGGATAAAGAGAGAAATAGTGTGGTCCTCGTCGCAAGAAAATGCGAATTGCTCTGTCTTCCTTTTCCTACATTTACCAAAAACACAAAAGGGGAATTCTTGGCCAAAAATGGTTGTTTACGGAAAGGCAAGGGTATACCACGTGGGTTCTGATTGTGCAGAATAGAACACTAGATAGAGTGTTTGGTTGAGCTCCTGTTATGGAACTTGATAGGACAGGTTCAGTACTTTAGCATGTGTGATTAGAGTCCTTTTCTCGTTGGTGAACAAAACCTTTTTCTCTTGCTAGTGGAAACATGGGGACTACAGTGGAGTTTAGTAATTTGTTGAGAAATTCGGTCTTGACAGTAATTTAGTAATTATCAATGAAAAAGTTGAATAAAAACCAGCCAAAGCATTTGCCACATCGTCTAAACGCCACTTCCGATTCCAAACATCCGAAGGCCTATTTCACTGTCCATCCACCCAATTCCTTGTTCTTTTCCTCTCGTTTGTTGCTTTGTGTTTGATAATTAGCGAGAAAAAGAGTACGACGTACCTGTGGTTCGTATGTCGTTGTTAAATGTCATTGGATGGTGGATGCCACGTAAAATTATCTTCCGTGTAAAGCTTCTATTATGGAGTGACGTTGCTATCATATTTTATTCTGTTGTTTTGGTAGGACATATTTTACTCAATATTTTACTTATTTTCTTCACAGTTTTCTTAAAAGCATCACGGTGTTAGTGTCGTATTCTATTTTCTTTAACCCGCGGCATGCGCTACTTTATTTTCGTAGAAGATGTTATCCATATTTTATATTCTTTTTTTAAGAATAAATAACACCTTTCCACCTATGAAAGCAAGACTCTGTTACTCACATCTACTTTTAAAACTATTTTTTACATTCCAATTTTTGTCACTTGTTGTATTGTGGTGACTGAGGGGGGGGGGCGGAGATTTCTGTGTTCTCGTTAGCATAATGACTTCACAGGCAATTGGGATGCTTTCCCAAATACGTTCCCTAACAGAAACATGTACATAACTGACTCACAGTGAACAAACTGAAATAACTTTTGATGATCTAAGGGTGTGAAAAAAAAAAAACACATTGACGGACTTTTGTTTTTATGATTTGACCAATTCCTTAAAGTTAAATTAATCACAAAAATATTTTTCGTCTAATTGTTGTCACGTACCGGCTCATTCATCAAGTTCAATATTGTTCTTGTGATTGTTCAAATTTGTAAGCTGAAATTGATGATAGGCTCACAGAGGATCTGATGGATGGATGCAGTTGACTTTGTCGGGATTACTAAACTTCATAGATGGGCTATGGTCAAGTTGCGGAGACGAGAGAATAATCATATTCACGACAAACCACAAGGAGAGACTAGACCCAGCACTGTTGAGGCCCGGAAGAATGGACATGCACATTCACATGTCCTATTGCTCCTACCAAGGCTTCAAGCTTTTGGCCTCAAACTACTTGGAAACTCCCTCTGACCACCCCCTCTTTGGGGAGATAGAGGGGCTAATAGAGGACATACAGATAACCCCCGCACAAGTGGCAGAGGAGTTGATGAAGAACGAGGACGCTGAGGCCACACTTGAAGGATTCGTGAAGCTACTAAAGAGGAAGAAGATGGAGGGTGATGTGTGTGAGAGTCCTGAGAAAGCAGAACCTCCCCATCAGCAATCCAAAAGACGCAAGGTTGGTTGCAGACAAAAACGTGGTGTTGGCATTAGCAAGAGCAATAGTGGTGTGACTCAAAGAAGGACAAGAAGAATGAGAAGAGAATGCAGTTTGTAATCTGCTGGTTCAACAATATATGATGAAATAAGGTTGTGGGAGCTACTATTTGTCTCCAGATCTGATGTAGGCTTGGGGCTTTTCTTACTTTTAGTCAATTGCTAAGAGGCTAGCTAGCTGCACACTGTGGTTGAAATGAAGATGAAGCATTGTTAGTATGAGTAAATGAACAATATGTTATGTACATCTAATTCTGTATAGTTGTAGTCCATCGTAGCAATGGACACTGGCCACTGTATTCAAGCTAAAAGGTTCATCTTTTCCACAACCAGAAAGCTTGGATCTGTTTGACATGAGACTATTGTTTGCTGTTAATACAATGAACTTATATTTTGAAAAAATAAATTATATATAATATTTTCTAGAATGAAGGTCCTTATACAATTTGTTCACTTTTTTTAATAATATATGTTTTTGGAAGAAAACATTATTATTTTCTTGAAATATACAATGTCGTTATAAATTTATCATTTAATCATTATAATTTTATTTCAAATATTTATTTAAATTATGTTTATGAATCGATATCACATCGACCTAAACTGAACTAATATTATTAAACAAAATTTTGAATTCAATTAGTTAATTAATTTTTTCCACATAAACTAATATAGAAAAAAAATCAAATTTAAATGATAACCAGCTTGAATTTATTTTTTAAAATATAATTTAATTTTCTGATAGAGAGTGCATTAAATAATTATAAATATTTAATTTTGTTCTAAAATCAATACTTAGACCTTATTTATTTAATATTTAATATTTAAAATTTTTAAAATTAAAAACTATTTTTAAAATCTAAAAACATTATTTAATAATTATTTTATTTTAAAACATTGAAAAATTGTAAATTCTTTTTGAAATTAAAATTTTTACTCATTAATAATTTTAAAATAAATATTTTTTTATTTTAAAAAATTAAAAAGTCAATAACTTTTTTTTCATAATACATCTATGATTTACTCTCATTTTAATAATAATAATAGAAATACGTAATAAACTTTAAAAAACCTCTTTATATAATAGTATAAATATTTTAAAAGGATAATATAGCTTTATAAACTATAAAACGAAAATTCTGTTATACATAATATATTATAGATAAAGTTGTTACTTCTTTTTATTTAAAATAATTTCAAATTCAAATTATTAAATTTTTACAAATTAATTTCTATCTGTTTTTAAAATCTAAAAGGGAGGATTGAAATGAATATAAATGAGAAGCGAATTTTACATAGTTGGGCTTCATCATGGTTCAAGGTCTACGCTGCCTTCTTCACATTCATGATGCTCCTCAGAACTGCATTCAATCATCCCATACCCCACACATTACAATCCTTCATTGTCTCAAAGCTAGAAGCCTTCAATAACCAACTAAATAATCAAATATCTATCAAAATCGACCGTCTATGGAACAACAATTTGGGACACTGTCCTCTAGTATTACTCGCACTCTTAAAGTTGACAAACTAGAAAACCAAAAGCAACTTAATCTGGCTATGAATGCAAGTGAAGAGGTGGTGGACGAATTTGAAAGCACGAAGTTCACTTGGAACCTGGACGAGGGTTCCGAGGAAGACTCTGACAATTCCCGTAAGCATTCCTTTGTACTAACCTTCACCGAGAGTCACAGAGAGAGAGTATTGGATCGGTATATCCCACACATGCTTGAAACGAACGAGGCCACGAAAGCTGAGAAGAAAATTGTAAAATCTATTCCTGGATTAATTATGATTGGACCGAGAGCGAGTTATCTCAACCACACTCAAGTGAAATTGGACCAAAATTCAGTTTCATATCTGCTTGTGCCACTTGAAAGAGAGGCAAGAAAATAATAGAAAACGAGGTAGGACTGGAAAGAAGTGTCATTTATGATTTATGCGAGAAATTTTCATGTGCTTTTGAATGTTTTGTTTACTGAAACAAATTATCTCTTTTAGTTTCATCTAAAAGAAATTATGTGAAAAATCATCCCCTTCTTTACTGAATAAATATTTTTCTTAATAAAATGATAAGATGTAATGAATCTATAAATTACTATCGTAATATATTATATTGAGGAAAAAAATTGTATTTATTAAATGTATAAATATCTTCATAAGTATCAAATTATATTAAAAAATATTAATAAATATGGATATAATATAATACAAAAGTTATATTTTAGATTAGTGATATAGTCTTCATATTTATGATATAATAAAAAAAAATTATATTCTAGATTTATAATATCATTTCCTTTTATTTGATCAACGTGATCAAAATAATGAAGTCCATAAAAAAATAAATTAATTATTTAAATAATAATTCATCATTTAACTTATTATTTAAATAATATTAAACAAATATATTATATCATTCACTTTAAATTTTATCATATCATTTCACATCATATTTATTTGCACTAAAGATTATTTGAATATCAATATCATATTTATTTGCACTAAATATTCTTTAAATATCAATATCATTTTGATTTCTCTCTACTAACAATACTACATGATACACCCTATTATCTTAGGATAAATTATCAATAATTTCCTTATTCATTTTTATCCCAATACCTAAAAATACAATTCATTTATACCACAAACAACTAATAAAAATAATACCAAACTTATGTAAATATTCTTTTCTAGTATTATTACAACACACCAAAACATATATTCATCTTTTTCAAACATATTATTATTTATTCATCTTTTTCAAACATATTATTATTTAAATAATCAACTCCTCCTTAATATTCTTAAATTCTGACTTATCCACATGTATATTCAACCCACAATCCATATTGTGGTTCCAATACCTATGCAACACTCCCTCGTAACAATGATATCTTACTATTTGATTCCGTGTTAAATTTTAAAATAATCAAAACTATAAAATAGAATAAATGACTTACCTGTTTAAAGTTTAAAGTTTAGTTCAGACAAAATCCCACTCTATCTCTTCAATTTTTATTTTATTTTTTTTACTTTCGGATCTAAAATCCACCTAGTATTTTCTTTTTATTTTTATATCTGAACAAATAAAAAACACTACTATTTATAAATGACTCCAAAATTTGTAACTTTTGTTTATTTATAATTTTGATTTAATTTAATAATAGTTAAAATATATTTATTTATATTTTTTTTCGTGAATATTAAAATAAATCAACTATATATTAAATAAGAACATTTTTTATATTACTAAACAGAAAAATAACGAGGATGAAAAATAGGGACTTGTTTATAATTATATTTAAAATAACTTTTGAAAAATAAAATAATTTATTTGATAACTGTTTTATTAAAATGTTTTTAAAAACCTTTTTTTAATTTTAAAAATTAAAACAAATAAAACTGATAAAATTTGGTTACTATTTTAGTTTTCTGTTTTTATTATTATGTATTAAAGTTTTTACATTAAATAACTCATTTTTATCATCATCAAATTATCAAAATTATCTTTTTAACTTTAATAATATTCATCTTTATATTTCTTTTAAAATATTTTTAAAAAATAATGCTATTAAATATTTTTCCAACTTAAGAAAAATCTCTAAAATTATTTTGAAAAAATAAAAAATAAAATTAAATCTAACAAAATTCTACATCTTTAATTATTATTTTTAGAATAATTTTTTTCCTACACATTATACAAATTTCATGCATCAGTGAGGAGAAATTATCATTTCTGTGTAAATTTAAACTATTTTAAATTTTATTTTAATTTAAAAACATTAAATTCTACACAAGAAAATACAACGACAAAGAGAAAGAGATTTTAGAACAAGAAAAGACAAGAGAGAAACAAAACTTGTTTCTATTGTAGAAAGATATTAATGATGGTAGAGAAAAATGGTTTTCTTAAAAGATTATACCCTTCTACATCAAGTCATGATGAATGTACATTTGTAAAAAGGAAATTTTTATCAATATTTAAGAATAAAAATAAATATTTTATTATGCATTTTACATTTGCTTAAAAGAAGAAAAAATTATTTAAAATAAAAAAAGTTGTTTAAATAAGTAATTATGACCAAAGTTGAAACAACTCAATTATGAGACCCATAATAAAATATTTCATTCTATTTTTAAATAATTTTTATTAAAATTTTCCTGTGAAAATGCTTTAAGAATCTAATATAATTTAAAGTATTTCATGCATTTTTTTTACTCTTATATGATATAGTATATTTTATACAATTAATTAAAATTGTTTTGATTTCATATTTTAAAAGGAAAATATAATTTATTATATGCAAGAAATTGCTAATGTACTTACCTATTTTTCAACGCTAAAAATCTATGGAAAAAACCTACTAACTTCTGATTAATTCATTTAAGGAACATATTAAAAAAAATCAATTACTTAAATTATAAATTTGTTCAGATAATTTTAACTTTTAGTTATTTCATCACATTATATATTCTACAAATATAATATAATAATTCAAATATCTAATGCAAAAGCAAATTGTAAACTTTCATCCTTTTAATAAAAAAAATGAAATTATTTATTTTTAAATTAAAAAAGTTCAAATGTATTTGTTGGTATCTATTTAGGTTTTAAGTATCTATTTACATTAAATTGATGAGGTTTATGAAAGACTAAATATAATAAGAAAATGTTAAAAGCAATAGATAGTGAGGAACATAGAACATTAATTTCAATTGCATTTATTACTATGGAGACTTATATGCATCTCTTATTGCAAACACATTATTTTTCCTTGGCCAAATTTTTTTTTTTTTTGTGTGTATCAATTTATTGTAATCTGTTTTGAAAGGGTGTAGTGTTGGTTCTGATTCATTTTGATAAATAGGTGGTAGAGAAGGGGAAAGGCAACTTTGCTTCTGAATCGGGTTGGATGCCCAAATTTTGATGTCCCAAACAAAAATCCTAATTTTCTTAGTCCACAGAGGCGGCTCTGAATTAAAAGTACAAACATTTTTTTTAACTAACACAAAAAAATAATAATAAATTGTGAAAAAGGTAAACCATACATACGTGGTCGAAGCTAGTTCATCCAATTAACAAAACTTAGTAACCAAGTTACTGCGCATGTTACCCAAAAAAAGTGTTAAAGTTAAACATGTTTTTCAAAGACATATAATTCGCACTAAATTTTTTTAATATACAATTATGATTTATGAAATAAGTTCATAGAATATTTTTGAAATTCAAATGAATTTTTATTTAACAAAATAATATAACATAGTACTATAATTGTTTATATATATATATATATATATTACATTATTATATTAACGTATAATTAGACAAAAAATATTTAATTTGTTTATTTCTTTCACATGTATTCCTCCATTTTATTTTATTTATAAATATTGAAAAATGTGAAATCTTATACAATAATTTGCTGTTTATTCGTGAGCATTTCATTAACTGCTACATTTTATAATCTTTAACTGATTTTCAATGCTGAAAGAAACATCCCTCCATTTGGCACGATGTGACATCTTCCAAGAAGTTTTACTATTATCTACCTAGAAGCTTCTCCTACGACTAATGTAAATTTCTAGGAATCAAATGAAGAAACATGAGTACGAAAATCACAACTATAATTGGAATAAAAAATAGAGATTTGTGCAAAACTTTTTAGACCTTAATTAGTCTGTGTTATAGTGAGGAAATGGGTTCCTATCCGAAATTATTTCTGCATGGAAGCTTCCTTTTTGCATTTTTTGAGAAAAACCAAAATGTTAATATGCCCTCAAAAGATTCTTTAATGAAAAGTATCTGGTCTGGTTCCTTTACTCTGTTTCTCTGTATTATTGATTGGAAGGGTGGGCATGTCTTCTATCTGATATTATATTATTTCATTTATACTTCAATCTTAAAATAAAAATATTCTTAGTGATTGATTTAGGTATAGATAGGCTTACCTGGATGTCATATCTGAAAGAAAACAAGGGTATCACTCTCACCCTTTGTTATTTATACTTGGTTCTTGGTTCTTGGACTCTCAGTGACTGTATCAAGCTTCCAAATTGTGCCATAAACCACAAAACATTCATGAGACCTTCTGTGGGGGGGGTTTCTTCCTCCTTCACAAATTTTCGTTCTGCCTCATCATGGTTCGAGTTGTATGCTGCTTTCTCCACATTCATGATGCTTCTAAGATCCGCAATCAACGATCTCATACCCAAAGAAGTTCGCTCTTTCATACACTCAAAACTAAAGGCTTTCTTCTCAGACCGTAAAAAAAGCAACCAGGTCTCACTTCAGATCACAGAAATTTGGGATGGCCACACCAACCAACTCTTCCAAGCCGTCCAAGAGTATCTCCCAACAAAGATCTCCCACTCGTACAAATCCCTCAGAGTTGGGAAAATTTCAATGCACAAGAACTTAGTAGTGGCAGTCGATGGAAAACAGGAGGTGGTGGATCGATTTGAAGACATCAAGCTCAGATGGAAACTCGTGGATGAAAGCTCCCAAAAAGGATCTGATAATCGCGAACCTCCTCGTCATCGCAAGTCCAGCAGTTTCGAGAGGCAATCGTTTACTCTAAGCTTTGATGAGAAGCACAGAGACGTGGTTATGAACAAGTATCTCTCCCACGTTCTGAGCGCATATGAGGATATGCAAGCAAAGCAGAGAACCATCAAGATCCATTCCATTGGTGGTGGAAGGTGTTGGCAGAAAAGTGACTTAACACATCCAGCATCGTTCGAGTCGCTTGCATTGGATCCAGAGCAGAAGCAGAGCATCATTGATGATTTGGATCGGTTTTTGCGTAGGAAGGAACTGTACAAGAAGGTGGGGAAGCCTTGGAAACGTGGCTACCTCTTGTATGGTCCCCCAGGAACAGGAAAATCTAGCCTTGTTGCCGCTATGGCCAACTACTTGAAGTTTGATGTGTATGATTTGGAACTCACCTCTGTGTTTTCTAACTCAGAGCTCATGCGAACCCTCAAGGAAACATCTAATCGCTCCATCATTGTCATCGAAGACATCGACTGCAACACAGAGGTGCTTGCTCGATCAACGGCTAAACCCTTGTCAGATTCAGATTCTGATTTTGACCGCAAGCATGTCAAGGTTTATTTTCCAAATTAGTACCTTTCCCTTTTTATTTTCTTTTTAATTATTTCTAAACTTTATTTTATCCCTTTTCTCGTTGATAAAAATACTTAACAACAATCATTGCATAGGTTAAGACAAACAGATTTACTTTGTCGGGTCTGCTTAACAACATGGATGGGTTGTGGTCAAGTGGTGGAGAGGAGCGGATTATAATCTTCACTACTAACCACAGAGAGAAAATTGACCCAGCATTGCTGCGCCCCGGTCGTATGGACATGCACATTCACATGTCCTTCCTCAGAAGCAAGGCATTTCGAATTCTAGCTTTCAATTATTTAGGCGTTAAAGGAGATCATCCACTCTTTGAGCAAATTGATGATCTGCTGGAGAAAATACAAGTCACCCCTGCGGTGGTAGCTGAGCAACTGATTAGATATGAGGATCCTGACGTTTGTTTGGAAGCACTTGTTCAATTTCTCAAGGAAAAGGCCAAGGAAACCCATCTTTTATATTTATGAACGAGGCTTCAGACTTGGCATGTTGTAGAGTTTTCTCAGTTGTATCACCACTGGGATAAGATGCAGAATAAAAAAACTGCCTTTTGGTCTGTAGTACTTATCTCTGGAATCGTTGTAAACTTTAATGAAAAAATATTTGAAGATTCCGAATCTGTAATAATTTCAAGAGATATATGTAAAGTATGATCCTGTTTTGCTGGGGCATTTTATATTTTACACAGTTAAGAGCATATGCTTTAGAAACTATAATCTTGGTTTGGTTTGGTTTGGTTTGGTTAAATGAAAGATTCCAAGATTCAAAACAAAATATAAGCGAAGAAGACTATAATTAAAAATAGGGACTAAAGATGATTCTCATATGGTGGGGGTACTTTTAATTTGCTATCCACATTTTTCCTGTAAAATAAGATGATTGATTACATGTTGGTTCTTATGCGCGAGACTCAGACTGATATTTACTTTGTTGATAAGGAACCTGAAATGTAAGGTAGTGTTATTTGAATGTTTGTTTAAACACTTGATATTTTGAATTGCTATCTCCTACAACCTTTTATAATTTCAGGAAGATCATATGTCCATTTACAGTTAATCCAAGAGTAGTTTTCATTACTTTAAAAAAAATAAAAAAATTGGAACTGAGATTACACTTAGCTTATATATGGGTTGAGTAGGTAGATGGAAGGGAATGAAAACAAAAATGAAAATAAGATTATTTGAATGGCAGAAAATGAAAAAAAAAAGAGAGTGAAAATTGTAATGTATAATTAATTTGATTTATTATAAAAAAATAAATTAATGAATTATTAAAATATTTTTAGTATAAATTAATAAGAATAAGTATAAATATAAATTAAAATATATTTAATATAAAATAATCATTTAATAAAACTAAAATTAAATTATATATAAATAAAAAGAAACTTGTGATATTATATAATACTTTATAATTTTTTATAATAATTTATAAGTAATATTAAATTATCTAAATTATTTAAATAAATATACTATAATTATTTTTTATATGTTTTTATATAATAAATTGAAAGTATATTTCAATTAGAAGATATCATTAATAAATTTATGATAAAATAAAAAAAATTATTAAAATATCAATTCTTTTTAATTTGATAGTTTTTATTAAATCACAGTTTGTTTGATAAAATAGATTGGAAATTGAGAGAGTGTAAAAATTATATATATGTATATATATATATATATATATATATATATATATATTATTAGTTGTATTCATTAGGAAAATGATAGGTTTAATTTTTATAATTACTTTATGTATAAATTAATCTTAATTATTTATTTACATAAATTTAATATAAATAATTTTAATTTTATAATATATTTAACATGTAATTTTTAAATAATTTATTTAATAACAAAATATATAACTTAATTATTAATAATTAATAATTTTGTTATACGAAAATTGAAATTACATACAAAATATTTAACAATATATTAATAATGATATAATAAATTTTTATGATACTTCAAAATTTATTATGTAAATTTTTTAAATAATATATTAAATCATATTGTTTTTGAATAATTTAAAGTTTTTATAATAAAAAATATACTTTTATTAAAAAATATTATTATTATTATTAGAAATCTTAATTAAAAATTAATTAATAATTTAAAAATAAAATTAATTAATAATTTAAAACAAAATAAAATAATTATTTTAAAAAATAGATAAAAATATTATCTCTCGCTATAGAGAGAAGCGTTGCATGAATCTTATCCTATTTATTTATTTTTAGTTTTATATTTAATTTATCTTTAATTATGAATTAACCTAATTTATTAATTTATATTTATATTATTTAAATATTTTAATTTAAAAAAAATTATTTATAAATATTTAATGAAATGGTGATTGAGATTGATCTTAAAATTCAAAAGAATAATATTATTAAAAAAGTGATTAATTTGGATTTGACTAATAAATATAAAATTAATTTAATTTTTCTTAATATAAATTTAAATAAAACATATTAATAAAATTCAAAAGTTGATTTTTATATATATTTTTTAAAATAATATTATTTTATATAATATTTATTCACACTTCTTTATTTTATCGTGTAACCATCCATTAACAAGAGTTTCTTCATGGGTAGATTTTCTCTACTATCATTAAGTGTTTTATAAGTTGCCAGCAGTAAAATGGAAAATCTAGTTACTGTTGTGTACCTTGAAATATTTCTCCATCAAGTCTAAAATTTGATTTCAAGATTTTTCGTATTAACTATATTTAACAGATTTTTTTATTTAAATTATTTAATATATATTATGATAATAAAACATAATTAATATATTTGATTATATAGACTATCATACTAATAAAATAATAATTAAAATTAAATAGATATAATATTTTTAAATATACTAATAAAAATATTATAAATAAAACTACTTATGTTATTTTTCATGTTAATATATATTTTCGTGTTATGTTTAGACTTGGTACTTTTTTTTTAGTGTCTTAAAAAATTTAGTAGTAAAATTGAAGGTATTAACTGTTCAAATCGCGTTGAAATTCGTTGATGAATCTTATTAAAAATTATTTATTATTTTATTTTTTATAAAAATAAAGTTATTTATAAATGTCAATAGAATAAAGTTATCAAATTATTGATGTTTAATAATTTAAATTATTATAAGATAGTAATCTTAAAAATAAAAACAAAAAATTACAGAACAAAAAACTAAGGAAAACGACAGTGCGTAGGTCGGTGGCCGAGAATTGAGTCTTCTAAAGTATTTGCGGCTAGAGCAGAAAATATGGGGAAGAACTGCTACTTTCCCATTTTTTCTTTTTTTATAATTATGGAATCTCCGTTCTCCACCGGAATTCACGTTGCAGCAGTAGTTTTCCTCACTTATTTTCTAAAGAGAGAGAAACGATCAAATATATAAAAGAGTGAAAAGAGAAATTATTTAATAAAAAAGAATTTTAAATTAAATATAAATCCCACCACGAACCCTTCCAGTGACCATTTCTGATCACCGGATTCAAGAGTGGGTGTGAATCGGTTAGAGAAATAACATGATTTTTTTTTTAACTGCATTGAAGTAAATATAAGTGGATAGCATATTGAAGTAAATACACATGGATAATTAGTTATTATTTAGTTAAATAGTAAATTTTTACTGAAAAGTGTTAAAAATTAATAAATTTTTTAAAATATAATAATATTTATTAAATATAAATATATATTATAAAATTTTATTTCATATATATATATGAAATAAAAATAAATATAATTTTTATATAAAATAAAAATATATTTATATAATTATATTATTAAAATATTTTTATAAATATAGTAAATATAAATATATTTAATCTATATATAATAATATTTAAATAATTATTTATATTTTTATAAATAAAATAAAATTTAATAAATATATATATTTATATTTTTTAGATAATATTTTTTATATAAATAAATTATATATATTATTTAAATATATTTTTAATATAAAATAATTGTAGTAAGTAAAAATAATATTTTTTATAAAAATATGATAAATACATTTTTATTAATATAATATAAAATAATTTTAATATAAAATTATATATAAATATTTTATTATATTTTTATATATTTTTATAAATATGATAAACATAAATTTGTATTTTTTTATATACATTATAACTTTATTAAATATAATATATAATAAATATAAATATATACTTTTATATATAATAAAAATATATTATATAATTATATGTTTAATATATTTATATATACTTTTATAAATATATTTATATATTTATAAATATTATTTAAATATACTTATATAATATTTATATATGATAATATAATATTTACTATAATTATTTTATATTAAAAATATATTTAAATAATATATATAATTTATTTATATAAAAAATGTTATCTAAAAAGATATAAATATATATATATATATATATATATATATATTTATTAAATTTTATTTTATTTATAAAAATATAAATAATTATTTAAATATTATTATATATAGATTAAATATATTTATATTTATTATATTAATACAAATATTTTAATAATATAATTATATAAATATATTTTTATTTTATATAAAAATTATATTTATTTTTATTTCATATATATATATATATATATGAAATAAAATTCTATAATATATATTTATATTTAATAAATATTGTTATATTTTAAAAATTTTATTAATTTTTAACACTTTTTAGTAAAAGTGTGGTAAATAATAAATAGGTACAATATGCTATCACCTATATTTAGGTCAATTGGATGGTAAATTTGAAAAAAATCGGAATAACATTCTTTGGGAAACAAAGGTCAACAAAGCAAGAAAGCGTCAATATTTAAATCCAACTTTACCTGACATTTCCCATTACTTCAACTCTTAGTCCAGCAGTTTTTGAATATTAAACCAGGTCATTTTAACGTCATCCATTTATAAATAAACATTATTTATCATTCATATTAACTGTTTTTTTTTTTTTTTTTTTTATTATTATTATTATTATTATTATTATTATTATAGGAAACGTACAGATAAATAAAAAAAACACTCTCATAATTTATTAATTCTTTTACTGAAGAAGGAGAAAAAAAGTAAAATTAAATAGAAAGAGAGATTATAATGATGAAAAAAATTAATATATTTTATTAATTGTTATTTATGAAATATTTAGTTTAATATTTTGTAACTGAGAGCGAATTAACCACAGGTATTTAATTTCGTCATTGTTGGAATATCAACTATATTAATATACTTTTACCCTGCTTGATCGTTCCAGCATTTCTGGACTTTTATTTACTCCTGTCAAAAATTACAACATTTGGCCTTCCCACTCCACTGCAGTTCAGCGTCTGATCTTACTACAGATCGCATCATCGTTCTCTATAGGTAACAACACTTCTTCCATTTTATTTTATTTTTCTTACCTCTCTCTCTCTGAAACAAAATTTTTCTTTTTCTTTTTTCTTGTAATTTAAGAGAAAAATTATTCGTAAATAAACCAAGGGAAGTGACCATTCGAAAGTGCGTGCTTGCGAAGTTTACGCGTATGTTCAACTGGCCCACTGAACACGCGTGAAGACTGAAAATATTAGACATGGAAAGATTTTGCAAACAAACAAATTCTAATTTCTTAAATTAAGATCTATACAAGAAGAAAAATATATAAAATTTATAAAATAGAATATTGCTTTTGAAGAATAAAAGAATGGATGTAGTGTAACAGGTAAAAAATAGTATTACAAAAGTAACGTGATGTCTTAAAATTTTAGTCCCAAAAAATACTCAATGGTGTAATTGGAACAATTGAGAAAATCAATTTTATTAATAGTTATTCATATTTAATCAATTATAACTCTAACTAATTTGCATTTAGATAAATTTGTTGATTTTTTAAAATGATTAATTGAATTTAAATACATTAAAGTTAAATCATTTTTTACGTGATAAATGGCGAAAAGTAATTATTAGTATAAAATTGAAAAAAAGAGAGCTTTCTTGAAAACAATCATTGTTTTTTGTTTTATATTCTTTATATTTCTTTTTAATCATTACTTTTTTAGAAAAAAATATTTCTATTTATATGTAATAATAAAGTTTAAGATTATATTAATTATTATTTTTATTAGTTACATTCTTATTTTTTTAATTATATTTATTGCATAGAGAAGAAGATAACTAGTTATTAAGAATAATTGTTCCTTAAATAAAAAATAGAAAAATGAAGAAAATAATATTAAAAAACTAATAATTTTCTTATAAATGAAAATTAATATTCTTCTTAATTTGTTTAGATAAACCTTAAACATCACATGTGTTAAAAAAATAGATGGAGTGTACAAAAACGACTCATGCTTGAAAAAGAAAAACTTGATAACTTTAACCTAAAGTGATGATTTTGGTCATGACTTTTAAAACCTCTTTTGGGAAGAAAACAAGGAGATCTTGAACAAAGCATGTTAGTGACAATGGCTTTTGCAGTAAAGACGTGGACATGTCGTGTGATGAGAATGAAATAAAGTGCAGAAGAAGATTCAGCGTGCAAAACACTAGTTTATTCACCAAAAACAAAAATAATTAAAAAGAAGAACTGTAGATGGTAGCTTGCGGTGCAAGGAGTGAAATCAGTATAACTGGAGAGTGGGTCTGAGACAAATTCATTCATCCATCTTTGGTTCCTCCCAAATCTTTTTTTTTTTTTTTTTTTTATTTAGTCCACAGGAGAGTAAAACACCATGGGCCTGTACACACGGAACGTTTTCTCTTCTTTTTCATCAGCGTCATCATGGTTCGAGTTGTATGCCGCCTTCTCCACACTCATGATGCTCCTCAGAACGGCAATCAATGAACTCATACCCCCTCAAGTTCGATCCTTCATCGTCTCAAAGCTAGATGTCTTATTCTCCAAATATCAAGCAAAGAGCAATATCACTCTCAGAATTACCCAATTGTGGGATGAATTTAATGGAGAGCGCAACGAACTTTTCGATGCTGCCCAGGAGTACCTCCCCACCAAGATTAGTCACACGTTCAAATCGCTCAAAGTTGGGAGACTGCAAAACGAGAAACACCTCGAGTTTGCAGTGGATACAAGTGAGAAGGTGGTGGACGAATTTGAAGGCACCAAATTCACTTGGAAGCTGGATGAGGGGTCCAAGGATGAGTGTAACGGGTACGGTAGGTGTTTCTTTGAATTAACCTTCAATGAGAAACAAAGAGAGATGGTATTGGATCGGTATATACCACATGTGCTTAAAACATATGACACCATGAAAGCTCAGAGGAGGGAAGTAAAAATCTATTCCAGGATAAATAATTATTGGAACGCAAGTGACTTATCACATCCTGCAACATTTGACTCACTAGCCTTGAGTCCTGAGTTGAAGAAAGAAATAATTGATGATTTGGCCCGGTTCTTGGAGAGGAAGGAACTTTACAAGAAAGTGGGGAAGCCTTGGAAGCGTGGATACTTGTTGTATGGTCCTCCCGGAACGGGAAAATCTAGCCTCATTGCAGCTATGGCAAACTACTTGAAATTCGATGTGTATGATTTGGAGCTTTCCGCTATTTACTCAGACTCAAACCTCAAGAGATCCATGAAGGAAGCATCCAACCGTTCCATTATTGTGATTGAAGACGTGGACTGCAACAAAGAAACGCATGCAAGATCAAAACTAAATGGTCCTTCATGTAATACAGATTCAGACTCTGATAGAGAGGGTCCCGAGGTTTGTTTTCATGTTCTGTATTCTATATATTTGTACTACTGGTTAATTAATCTTTAAAAGAAACAAATTGAAGTAATGACAGTGATTTCTTAAAATTAATGCAGACGAGTACAAAGAGTTTCACTCTTTCGGGTCTGCTGAACTACATGGATGGTTTGTGGTCAAGTGGTGGAGAGGAGCGGATTGTAATCTTCACAACTAACCACCGAGAGAAAATTGACCCAGCATTGCTGCGCCCTGGTCGTATGGACATGCACATTCATTTGTCCTTCCTCAAAGGCAAGGCTTTTCATGTTTTGGCTTCTAATTATCTGGATATTAAAGGATATCATCCACTCTTGGAACAAATTGAAGGGCTATTGGAGAAAGTGGACGTCACCCCTGCAGTAGTAGCTGAGCAACTGATGAGATATGAGAAGCCTGATGTTTGTTTGGAAGCACTTGTTCAATTTCTCAAAGAAATGGACAAGAGTAATCTTGAGTGAGAGTTTTTCCCGTAGTAGTGAGTAGGGACTTATGATTTTCTCATTTATGCCGAGGAAGTCATAGTGGAGTTTCTTCTTTCTTACTTTAACTTCTGTTGTGCACAACTCTCCTGTTATAAGATGGCTCAATTGAAATTCTGTTTTCTGCTCTTCACCCCAGGCTTAATAAATATGTTGATTAGAAGCTCGAAATGAAAGAAAGTTATTTTTATTTTAGTACTTCTGGAATGCTTTGTGAGGGAAAATCAGAAGTCATTTTCTTTCTTATGCCTCACATTGTGTTTCAACTTTGAAAACTCCAGGACATGACATAACATTTGTTTGTTTACGTAATTATAGAGTCCATAGCTACTTGCCTCAGTTTTCATCATAATTTAGTTCTTGCTACACTTAAACATGAACCTATCAACACCTTTAATTTTTCCTCAGGTTCTTTCTCAACGGTAATTCTATTGCGAGGTATGAAATTGAAAACATGAAGTGACATGTTGCTAAGGTGATGGTAGTTTTTTTACGGGATTTTTTCTTATAAATTTATTAAAATAAATCAATTTTAAAACTATTATATATTTAAATAAGTTGTGTAATAAACATAATTTTAAAATAAAAATAACAGTATTTCAATTATTTTTTTAAAATAAAAATCTTGTTAGGTAGTATTATGATTTCTATATAAATATAATCATATTATTAATATTAAATTAAAAATAGTTAATAATAATAATAAATTATTATTATTAATTATATGAATAACATGTATATTATCATTACTTATTTTATTATTGTTATAATAAAAATAACATTGATAAAATAAATAATAATGAAATATATTAAAATTATTACTAATTATAGTAAAAAAATACTATTTTTAATATTGATTATAATAATTATTAAATATAATAATTAAATTAGTATGATTTTTATTATTTTATTATTATAATTTAATTTTTATGATTATAATTAATAATAAATTAAATAATGATATCTTTGTATAAGATTATAATATTAATAATTACAATTATAATAATATTATTTTATTATTATATTTTTAGTATTAATAATAATAAAATAATATTAATAATAATAATTAATTTTAATAATATAAATTTAACTATTATTATCATTATTTATTTTATTAATAATAATGTAAAAAAATATTATTATTAATTACAATAATACAATTATTATAATATAAAAACTATAAACTTTACTAATACTATTACTTTATATAAAAGTAATACTAGGTAGTATAATCATGGTTTACTTCGTACTTTTATGCTTTGTTTGAATGAAGTGATTTGAGAGAGTGGAAATGAGAGAGTGGAAAAGGAGGGATTTGAAGAGAAATGGAGATGATTGAAAAGTGAAAGGAAAGTTTATGGGAAATTGTGAATGATTTGATTGATATGAGATATAAAAATTATAATTTTATGTTTATTATTTAAGAAAATTACCATTTTACCCTTTGTATCAAATAAGGTTCAAATGATTATAAATATAATTTTTTAATTAATTATCCATATTTTAACATTGATTATATATTTAAAAGAAAAAACAAATTTAAAAGTGTTTGTAATTGGAAACAAATTTAAAAAATTAACTTTTTTTAGATAGTTATTAAAAATTATATAAATAAACAATTACAAAATTATGTACATTGCATATCCATATTCAAATAATGTTGACATATTAAATAAATTATTTGACTAATAATTAAATAATTATAAAATATAAAATAATAATTAATATTGATCTGATAATAACAAATAATTATGAAAACTAATAATATAATTGTACATTATTATTTAAAACAAATATAAAATACGAGTGAAAATAGAATAATAATTAAAGGAAAGATTACTAAAATTATAAATCTATGCACACTAATGTTCTTTAAACAAATAATTATAATGTTATCCATCTTTTGTAGTGAAGTCCTCCAGTTCAGATCATTCAATCACCTCCATTCAAGAACATGAACAACTCGGGAGAGACGAAGATGTGAGGGCAAGCCAAAAAGTCGTCTAACATGTGATGGGTGAGTACACAAATGATTATAACACCTGAAGCATAAGTTGCTCGTCATTTAGGTTCATGTCGACTAACATGTCCCATATATCTGACTCCGAATGTTGAAATGTTGATGATCGTCTCATCACATTAACTTGCTCATTAATTAATTCATTTCGCGTTCAATGGCGACCACTCGTCTTTCAGCTATGTCGGATAATCGTTGGGTGATTGTATTACCTTGCCCGAGGTAATCTGTAAATGTGTCCAGCCTCGATGTTAGTTTTTCAAATTGACCTTCCATCACATCAACCATATGCGCTTTTCTTTTTGTGCCCCGAGATGAAGAGGTTCCACCCGAACCGGTAGACGCAGCAGATGGAATTGAGTGAGCACCCTCAGCAGGACTCGTCGGAACCCATGCGTGGAGGTGATCGATAAGTCAGTATCAAATCCCGCATCAAAGCCAAAGTGAAATGGTCTGCTCCTCCGGTGTGGGGTCCACATCAACGTTCAAGTCGATTGTTGCCCTTCGAGAACCGATATTCATTCGGCCTGACGCGAAGTTCTTGCCATATGTCCACTGGCTCGATCAGCACCCCACAATTCTTCCATCAAATCATAATGTCTTATAGTTGCCGGTTTCCATTTAGCTGCAGAAGGCTTCGCCTACAAAATAATGAGAATGGTTAACACTCGTAATTGTTATGTTTTGCTATATCAACAAATGATAATTCATATAATAGTACCTCAATTAGGTCATCCCATACTTCTTGCTCGACCCACAAACCGTTTTGTCATATCATCCCAAGCGAATCCACTAAGTCCATGAAACAAATCGTGGACCTCCCGCCATCTATCCTTAAGACTTTTTTGTCGATTTTTAACATTATTTTTAGTTATACCAATTAATCCAGACTGTCTTAGGGATTCAACTATATTCTTATATGCTTGGGTTGTCCAACTACCATCAACCCGATTACCCAACCTTGCCTCATCAAGCATAGCGATCAACAACCGAAAGTCCATGTCATCGAGTCCATTTTGTAAACTCGCGTACTACAGGTGACGAATCCGGTGCAATATCCTTTCCTCTGTTCATTTTAAATCTATTGGAAAGATAATATATGTAATTACGATACCAACATATAATTATTATAAATAGATAATCATAATGTAATCGTATTTCAACAATAACAATAGTACATCTTATTAAATATATTATTATATACAAAATCTAATGACTTTGATAATCTATCCACATTTGATTTGCTATAGTATCTCTTAAGTTTGACCCTTCCCTATAATCCTCTTCCCGAACTTGAGTCGACATATTATCCACATCTTGTTCCATCAACTCTCGATCCACTTCAACTAACGAGTGATTCATCGTTGTCTATCCCTCGAAGAAAATTGTGTAGAATGCAACATGCTAGGACTATATTCGTCATTGTATCAAATGAATAATGAGGCTCGTTCCACTAGCTATTATAGGAAATCTTTTCTTCAAAACTCTAAATGTTCTTTCAATGACATTTCTAAGAGACGAATGTTGATGGTTAAACAATTCTCGGGGTTTTGTGGAGCTCGTCGAGAATACTCTTTAAGGTGGTATCTAACGCCTCGATAAGGGGTCATTATGTTTCCTTTTAACATAAATCCAGCATCCCCCAAGTAGTATTTACCTATTTAAAATCATTGAAGTTATACTAATTAGAATATTTAAACTAGTTGACTATACACAAAATCCGCATGTTATAAATAATAAACCTTGTGGTATGATAAGGCGATCCTCTCTCGTAAGAACATCCTTTAATATTCTTGAATCGGATCGTTGTTCCTTCCCACCCTGCTAGAACATATGTGAATTTCATGTCGAAATCACAAGCTGCAAATACGTTTTGTGTTGGCCAATCTTTTCTTCCACGAAAACGAGGGGCATCTGATCTTGCGACTTTAACTCGAACATGAGTTCCATCTATTGCCCCTAAACAATCCTAATGGGTAAAAAATTTATTGTCATTAAAGTTTAGACAATCTATGTGTATGTTATATAGACACAAAGTTGGTAAGTACATTACCTTAAAGTATGGGTAAAATCGGTTGTTGCTTAATATATACGGACACACATCCCTTCCTGATGGTTGAACAATTAATTGTTCGTCCAACATTATTATCGCATTCAACACGTTATGAAAGTGTCGACTAACGGTTTCACCTGATCGATGGAAAAAAAATGAAACAGATTCGATTTTTAACGTTATGTCCGATAATATGGAGAAATTTAGCCACTTGTTCTTCCACTGTTGATTGTAACCCATCGTTTACTAATCCAGTTGTCCTTACTCGTTGACACAAGTTAATGAACGCCTCCGGTCCCATGCGAATAATGTGACGAGATTGTTCAGTATGAATAAGGTATGACATCAACTCGTGCCGACGACGTTCTTTTTCAGAAATAAAGTCTCTAATGTTACTGCTACTACAAGTTACCATAGACAACATATTTAATCCATAAGCTATCAAACAAAGAATTGTCATCGCTCCTATTTCGCTTCGCTTTTTTATCTCACTTTGTATATGTGAAATCATGTTTATATCCAGACCAGTATCTATATCGTCATTGTCTAAACCAATGACCTCGATGTTTTTGTCTGCCATCTGCAAAATATATATATATATATATATATATATATATATATATATATATAAAATTAATTAATTAATTAATGTTTAATGGAAGTAATTCAAAATTGCCATCTGCAAACCAAGTATCACAAAACCAAAAATTATTTACAAAACTACTAATAATTTTTTTCCTCTAAATTTATCATATGTAAGTATTGTCATAATAGTTATACCTAAAAATGCTTAGATTTCAGAATTTTGCATTATCCGGATGAAAAGTACGGCAATATTCTTAAGCGGGTTATACATGTCAATACAGATCTTACATATAGAATGGGACAACAAGCTTGGTACCTTGTCTT